AATACATATTTACTAATTGAAAGTTGTAGAGCTTGTTGAGACGTATCTAATGGTAGTTAGATCATCCAAATCGGCCTAGTGGATGGTGAGATATCGTCGAAATACAATTGGCCAACTATATAAAAATCTGTGACAGAAATTATATATAAAAATTACTATCGGCGAAACTTGGCATGCTCTCATCTAAAATTTTTTTTCTTACTAAGTTAATCACACTTGTGTATTAAGTAAAAATTGTAGAGCTCATCAAGACGCATCTAACGGTGGTAAGATCATCCATATCAGCCCAGCCAATAGCAAAATATCGTTGAAAAATGATTGACCGACTATATAAAATCTTTATATAAATAAACAAGGGTCACATCGCATAGATGCGGTTGCTGTGAGTATGGTCACAGGTGATCTTCATTTGGTTAATTTTTTTTTTTTTATTAATGAATTATATATATTTTATTAAAGGTAAATCATGTAGTTAAATTAAATTAAGTTAAATAATTAAAAAGAGTTGTAAGCTTGATGATTCAATATAATTCCTGGATTCCTCTTGTGTGTATTGTTTAGTCTTTTATATTCATTTAAAGTGGCTTTTGGTGATATTAGAGATCTGTAATCGAAGTTAATGATACGAAGGTTTTTCCAAGATGTTGCACAGCTCATTGCGACATAGGCTTAGCCTTCTGCAAATATGGTTTTATCGACCGATGTAGTTACATGAGATAAGGTTAAGCCTTGTACTTTGTGAGTGGTGAGTGTAAAGGCATTTTGAAGCGGGAATTGTTTCCTTGATGCTCGTTTTCCGTCTATATTGAAATAAGATATTTCTTTTTGGATAATGACTTTAATCAGGTTAGTAAAAGTAGGAAATGTTACTTCTATGTTCTGATTATCAACGATTTTTGTTATAATTCCAATCGAGCTATTACAGATGTCATTATCAAAAAGTTTATTATTTAGGAACATGATGCGTGCTCCTTCTTGTAGATGTATGGTATGAAGTAGGTTTGTTAAGTGTTTAAAACGGGTTATTGAGTGATTTTCGTTTAGAAGTTCGAAGTTCAGAGTATTTTCGGATGTAGAAATAAGAGGTTCACTTGTTGTATAATCGAATGGTAGATAGCTACACAAAAGTTGGTTTATGTTGTTAGCGGCTTGACGTGTACTAACTATATGAATGGTACTGTAGAATTTGATAGGGTCAGTATTTGCGTTGATTTTTGATTGAATAATGGTTTTAGTTCTATTCGATAGGCGACCAATTTGTATCTCTTGTAGAATGTTATAAAAGTCAAGATCGTCTCGTTGGCGTTGTGGAGTTTTTAAGAATAAGTAGAAGAACAGTGACCAGGCTGGAGATTGAAAAACATATTTTAGTTTTACTGGAGGTAGTTGAGCTAAGTCACCTACTACCAGAGTTGGTATTCCTTCAAAGACAAAATTATTGTTATGAATCTTGGCGAAGGTGTTGCTAGCAAAAGTGAATAGATCTCCATCTATCATTGAGATCTCTTCTATTATTATGACCTCTATTCTTTTTAGTTCAGCTTCATCTTTGTTATTCGAGTGAATTAAGGTTTCATATCTTCCGTCGTGATATCGAATTTTCAACAATGAGTGTAATGTTTTGCCACCAATGTTGTGAGCTGCGACACTAGTAGAGGCCATTAACAGGTATTTCTTTTTCTTTGTTTGAAGAAACAATGTTATTTGATGTAGTAAAAAAGATTTTCCGGTACCAGCCAGGCCTGTTAAAAAAAAATACAGATATCTTCCTTCAGACAATTTTCCCACACATTGGATAACATAGAGTAAATATTGTATTGATTTGTATCTAGGGTTAATAAGGAATGGGAGTCTAAGTTAGGGTGATGTTTTTCTAAAGAGAGAAATTGTTTGAAATGAGGTCGGACAAATCACAATTTTCAAATTCCTGTAGAAGAGAATTTATTATAGAGGTATACGATTCAGATAAACAATTTCTCTATTCAATATAGCTTCTGCGAAGTGATCCAGTTACTCGATTGTATCTTACGGGAAACATTGATCGGAATTTGTCTCTATACATTTCAAAATCTCCAAGTAGTTCTTGTTTAGATCATATGGGAATTTTCATGATAAGATGTTGAAAAAAAAAGGGTTCTCCATCTTCAACATTGTAAATCACGAATCTTAGTAGAATCAGAGTTTTTCGTTGGATAACTAATCTATTTTTACGGTCCCCACAATAGAATAGGTTGAAACATTGGCTTGGTTGTTTAGATCTGAAGGTGTAATTTCGAAAATAATACGGATATGTAATGGAGTTCAAGTTTGGATGATCAGGACGATCAAAATATTTGTCAATTGGGCTTAATGGATCTTGGTCTAAGTTCAGAGGGTGCAGATGGGAGAAAAAGTACGGAGACAGAACATCTTGTCAAAGGGTATTGTAATAATAGGACCATTAGTTCCATAGCATCTAATCTTCGCGCCATAATGTTTTCTGTATTCATTATTTTTGGAGATATCAAAGAGTTCAGAAGGTTCCGGTTTGGTTATGTATTTTGTTATATATTTGGCGAATCTATTTGACGTAATGTACTGAAAATTGATATGCCCTCTCCAAATTAATAGGGTTTCAGGATGGTACGGAACGATGTATCTGTCTTCTTGTTTGGTACGACGATATACGTAACATAAATTGTTTGGTGAACAGTATGTTCTTTCTGATAAAGGCTGGGGAAAACCTTTGAAACACTGCTCATCAGTGGAATCTTGTTCTCTACATCTGTGATCACAATGATGGACCTGAAACATCATAACCAATTGATGTAGGTCGGGTTCTGTAATAGGGTCGGAGACGTCAGCTCGAATTTTATGTAAGGAAATCAATTCTTGTGTTTTTTTTCAGTATAGATAAATCTATGGGTGTGAATCGTTCCTCTATTCTGAAATTCATCCCGTTCGAAGAAGTGCTCCCACTTTCCCCAACCTGCCAATTGAAGATTTTTCTATAATTTATTACGAATGTTGTTTAAAAAATTTCAGTAAAATAGGTATACATGTAGTGGATGGTTCGTGGGTAAGGTGTCATGATTGTCAGTTGATAACAGAATTTCACGTAGTTGAGGCTATTTATCTTCTGCTATGGTTATTGTATAAAATATCTGAGGTAGTCTGTAAATTTGTATCATCGTGTTGACTTGATGTTGTTTTTTTTTAAAAAAAGAGGCAGCAGTTCTAAGATATAAGAGGATCGTCATAGTCTTTGATTCATCAAGAATACTATAATTATTGTAGAAGCTAGTGGTAATCAGATCAACTCTTGTTGGATGGTATTCTTGATTGACACATCGAGTAGATAGTAGACGATGTTGATTTTAAAAGTTTTTTTTTTTTTCTAGGGTTAAATATGACCAATGCAGCCAGTACCAATGTAATCAAAACCGCAGATCTAGATATAACATTCTGAGTTTTATATATTTACCATAGCTATCTATGGATGGTTGGATATTCAAGCATTTTTTCATATCTTCATAATGACCTCGACCTCTTGGAAATAGATCTGAAAACATGAGAGCTTCTAAGTCAGGATTATTAAAAAGGACTGGAAAATTCACGTTATTATTGGTTACAATAGATCCAGCGATTAAACGATTGTAATTAGCATCTTGATTATAGACTTCCTGTGGGAATGAAACATTTGGCACTACCAAGTCAGGAGGATGAGGAATTTTATTAGAAAGGGTGCTTTGATACATATCAGAAGAAGACATATGAGTGGAGATAGATTGTGTTGCTAAAGGTAATAGTACAGGTACAATACTTTCTGGTGACGGTTGAGTAGTAATCAAATTAGATCGGTATTGTTTAATGAGTTCATTATTTTGTCTTAACCATTCTGAAGCAGGTATCAATGAGTTATGAAACCACATTGGAGGTTCGTTCGAATTTAAATAAGCACCAATTGACCCAGAATATAGTTGCAAAGTTCGATAGTTGTGTGTAATTCCTATTAAGCCTTGTAGGTGTCGATAATTCATATAACGATTTGTGTCAGCAGTGTGACCTAAAGAACAGTTCATGTGGATAGGAGAAAGATATCTTCAATGCATTATTGGAACATCTTCTATTGCAGAGGGAATTGGAGTTAGAATAGGGGGATAACGTCGTGTGTTTTGGTTCTTGCATCCGTTACATACAGCAACTTGTTCAATATTTCGCTTATTTATTCGGGTATGCACCAGGATATCGAAAGCACTGATTAAATGATAAATTTTATCGGGATCATAAGGAATCCATTTTACAGAAGATTTTAATATTAACATTAAACAATAGGCACAAGGAATACACAGATAATCATACAATATTTTTGTTTGAAATTCATTTAAAAGGCATTGAAGGTTAGCTCAGTGAGGGATAGAAACATGATTGAGTGGATGATGGAAGTCAGATTCAACCCATAGACGATCATTATCAAGAACAGGTGCATTTGGTAAATTTTGGTTTATTTCATTTCTGAATATATAGGGATCAAATGAATGGTCATTTTGTGAAATCCGAGCGTCTTCTGAATCATATCGTATAGTAGGTTGAAAGGTAAAAAGTAGAAAAGTTTGAACCCGATAATTGGACATTTTTTTTAATCAATTTAGAGTGATTAATTATTGAAGTTTTGGAAGTTTAACGATTTGGAATGATTAATTAACAAAATTCAAATATCTAACGACATATTTATAGAACAATTTTTATGGTAAATCGAATTTATTTTTGTTTTTGAAATATAAATAACTTAAATATTCGAATATTTAGTTTATATTAACTAATGAGTTAATTTATATATTCAATCATAATAACATGTTAATCATTATTTAAATTTATAAGCAGCAACGCGTAAATCGAAATTTTGAAAAATAGAATAACTAATCAAGTAAATACAAATATTACTGATTTTATTTATTTATTATATTTATTTTATTGAAATTATTTTAAGTAACAATTTAGTAATGAAAATTAGTTAAAATTTAATCTGAATCTATATCGTGACTAATAACCATATCATCTGAGTTTTCTTGTGTAGCAGGTTCACCACTTTTAATTTGTGAGAGTGCATTAACGAAATCTGTGGTTGATGAATCATCTTTCTGAGGTTTTGGTTTTTTCCCTTATTAGAAGAGGATGAAGTTTGGGATTCACTAATATTACTGGCATAATTCTATTCGATGTCTGATGCAATTATATGCGGTATTCTTTTATGTGAACTGATTTTAAATCTCCTGATTACAGATATAACTGTTTTTTTTAGGTTTTCTTTGAGAGAATTATACTGACCATTCTGGTTTGTATAAGATACAATAACGTTAGATTCAATATTCTTTTTACCAGTCACTCCATTATACAATCGCCTGAACAACATGAAGCTATGTCTTTCAAGTTCATCATTAGATTGGTAAGAATTAGTGACAGAGGGACAGAATAAATCATTAGGGGGAAGGAATAAGGAAGGTCTTCAGATGTAATCGACGTATTATCCAGAAAATATGAAATTGGGGTAGCTTGAATAAGGGTAACCTTAAGAGTTTTAAATTGAGATGGTTTAGTTATCTAAGAACGATGATGTAAAAAAACTTAATTCTTTACTTGAGATCTGAAACGTTTTATTTTTCACATGTAAAGACTGATCCTAATGGATTTCAACTTATGAAAAATAAAACTGGTCAAGAACTTTATACTAACATATTGGCATTTTCATCATAAACATATCATCTAATCATTAGTATAATGAAGTCTTTTTCGAAATTATCAATTAATGTTTCAGAAGATCCGGTACATCCTTTGTAAATAATTTCTCTAAAGGATTCTTCATTGTCTTTTATTCGATACAAGGCGCTTCCGGATACATATTTTTCATTTCCCATAACAGTCTTAATGAAACAGAATGATATAAAAATAGATGATATAATTTTCGAGACGTTTATAATAGACAAAAAGAAGTTCAGAAAAAATTGATAATAGCAATATAGATAAGTAAATATATAGTATTATTTAAGATTCGAAAGACACTAAATCAATTGTCATTCAAGCATCTTATTTATATCTTAAGAGTTATATAAGAGCGAGAAGTAATTTATTTAACGCATGAAGTTTCATTATTATATCGAAGCATTGCAATCAGGCATTTATTTTTTTCATACGTGTATTAATAACAATACAAAATCAATATATCTACGGTTATATAAATCAGGTATACTTGAATATTATTGCATGCACAATTTTTGACTTTTCGCAAATAGAATGATCAAGGTAAGAAAAATAAATTAGCATAACCATATAAAATCATAATATCATCAAAATTCGTTTATTTCATATTTTTTTTTACAAGAACATTTTTACCAAATAAAATTATTATTTCAATTGGTTATTTCAACACAGTTATAAATATATTTCGATCAATATTTATATAAAATAAATAAATACAATTTATTGAACAGATCTTTTGCGCGACAGTAGTAATCACGAATAATAACATCATAAATTAACGATGACAATTTTTCTAAATTAAATTATCACACATTTAATTCATGCATGCATGTTTAATTTTATTCCATGCCTAGAAATCGAGGTCAGCACAGCATATTAATATTAAATCATTTCAGTATAATAAATATTTTTTTTTAAAATATTTTTGATATTATCTTTTCTAAAAATAGGTTATGCAGAATAAGTAAACACATTATTCGGAATACAATCCATGTAACACTAAGGGAATATATAATTATTTTATTACATACAGTTCATAAGTGAAAAAATATATATATAGAAGACCTGTTCCGAGTGAAGGTAAAACGAAGCGGTTGATCAAGATCAAAAAAAGTACAGTTAGGTGAGAGACACAATATCAAGAAAGTGAAATCAAGAGTAAAACCTAATAAAATGCAACTAAATCCGTGAAATATGAATTTCCTTTTTAATACAATTTTTAGCTTAAAAAGGGTAGCGATTATTTTCAAAAATATTGTTCCATCGAATAAAATATGGGATAGCGTAATATGAATGTTGAAGCGATCCTTTTAAGGGCTAACATTGTTTATATTGTTATAGAACAGTTTTATTTTATTAGTTATTATTTTATCTTAGTATTATTTTATTATTTTGATATTTGTAT